CCCCAAAACCCCAAAACCCCAAAACCCCAAAACCCCTTTTTTTAGGGATTTTATTGATATTATTCAAAGAATAAAAATATGGAGAAAATTGTCGAGATTCTTAAACTTACATACCGAACAAAATCAGATGTCGATATATTACTACCCCTAATGAAGCAGATAGAATTCTTTAAGTCAAGCAAGATCAGTGAGCAAGAGCTAGGTTTTATCTGTAAGAAGTTGAACCACCTCTTTGTGCCAGAAGGAAAAGATGTCATTACGTATGGGGAATATGGGTCAGAGTTTTATATTAGTCTTGATGGCAAAGTTGATGTGTTGATACCCAAGTCGAAGGAGGAACAGAAGGAAGAAGGTAAGAGTGGGTATGGGAGATAGGGAGATGAGGAGTGGCAGTAGAGGAGGGTTGAATGAATGACTATATTTGAAAGCATACATAATCTGTTTTGTTAAATTTAATTTCTGAATGATATTTTTGCTTATTTTTTATACAAAGCTTGATAATTTTTTACATCTAATAAATTTGTAAATTATGAACCCAATTCATAAAATTATACCGTATACAATAATAGAAAAAGAGAGCAAGCAGTCAGTAACCCCTCAAAAGGCTAAGTCAAAAGCTCCAGTCAGAAGGCAAATGCATCTGTGTAGGTTTTAATTGGGCAATGGGCAAAAGCTTTGGGGGAGAGGGTTCACTGGGTTTTTGGAATTTTTGAAAATGGTGAAGGGAAAGTGATTTATAGCAGCAGAAAGTGGACAAGTGAAACGGAAAAGTACGAAATGTATGGAGTTGTTGTAATTTTATAGTGGATGTTAGTGGGGATGGGAAGGATGTAAGTGGGGATATGATGGATTGATAATTGTATCATTGTTAGAAAATTGTTACAAATTTGGGAATTTTTGTAACGAGTATAAAATTTTTATCAAATTCTCTCTAAATTTTGTTAAAAATTTACAAGTCTAACTCATTTCCTTACTCTGTCTTAACTGCTAAATAGAAATCTGATCCAAGAATATTCACTAACAAAGAAATACCGTACAACAAAGTTGCTCAGCTTCCTCCAGGAGTTGGTTTTGGAGAATTAGCTCTAATCTCCAAAAATAGCAAGAGGGCTGCTACTATTCGAGCAGCTACAGATTGCAACTTTGCAGTGCTTGAGAAACAAGATTATCAGCAAATCTATGGAAAATATGAAGAAAAAATCCTGAACCAGAAGATAGACTTCTTGAAATCAATTCCTATATTTAAGCATGCAACAAGAGATTCCATGAAGAAGTTAACTCCATTTTTACTCGAGAAAGAGTATAAGGTATAAACAAGAGTTATTTTGGGGCTAATTTTATATAGAAAGGCCAGTTTGTGTTTAAAGAAGGAGATAAAATTGATAATGTATCTATTTTAAATCATATTTAGACAGATGAACACAATCCTACCTCCCCAAGTTATACCGCAAAGCATAAAAATATGGATATATTTTTGATAAGACAAGGAGAATTTGAAATTTCTAGCAAAGGCCTGAAACTAAATGCTAAAAAGTACTTATATTCCAATTCAAACACTCAATCCTATTCCCTTACCTCTAAACCCTCCATCCCTTCCTTTTAACCCTTGCTAACCCCTCTAGGCCCAGCGTCAGCATGAACCAGCCTCAGTCATACACAATCTTGGGTCCTGGAAACTTCCTGAACGACTCCTTGATCTTCCAGCCTGCGACCCCTTCAACTTGTTCCACTACAGAAGAGTTCCTTAAGTAAGGATGAGAAGCCAGTAGGGCGGTTTTGAGAGTATAAGAAAATTTTAGTGGTTAGAAATCATTTTTGGCATTAGTTTAAAGATGAAGATGTAGTTTAAGGGTATTGGTTATTGCCAATGATTTAGAAATTTTGTAATTAAAACTTATTTTATGAATGGAAGGTTTTGTTTTTGATACATAGTGCTTTTAAACTATAGTGTTATAAATTTCTCAGGGTGATTTTATCAATTATTTCTTCTTTAGCGCAAAATGAATATCTACCAAAGGCCTCTGCTATATTATTAAATTTAATGAGCTCTACAAAAGTATTAAGAAAAGTAAATTTAGAATAATTTTTAGCCAACTCTTTAAAACTGTTTGAGGAAACTGCTAAGCATAAGATACAACATAACGAGGAGGTGGTCAAGGCGAGGATAGACTTCATGGCCAAATGCGAAAGTTACATGCACAAGCTTAGAGCTAATGAACAATTAATAAGCATCTTTGCTAAAGGCAAGAAGGGAATTCAGAAACTTAAGAATGAACAGTTCTTTAAGAAGAAATTTTGGAGAGAGACTATCCATTTTAGAGAGGATTTGGAAGAGGAGAAGGAGGATGTTAAGGATCCTCAGAAGGGGATTTTTACAGCGAATGCGTTTTTGGAGGATTGTGAGAGTGGGAGTAGGAATTTTGAAGGGTTTTGGGGATGTTGGGTTTGGAAATTAATTGGTTGATAGAGTTTGAAGGATCTACATTCAATTTTTCAAGGAGAAGTCAGCAGAGGGATATTAAGACTTTGAAAAGTATTTTAAAGTGATCATAGTTATAGGTATTAGCAGACCTAAAACGGGGAATAGGACATCTATGATTCAACAGCCAAGACATATGAAGCAGTTAGTGAAATTCTTGAATAGTTCTATTAACTCAACAAGAGAAACCTTAGCGAACAGGAACAATAACTCTGCATCTCTTCAACAGACTTGATACAAAGACGAATCACTTAATAAAGCAAAATACAAGTCTAGAATAATCCGAAAAAGAAGCCAAATTAAAAGCGGCTTTATGATTTTTAATAACATGCAAAGCTCAATCACCAAAGCTCCTTCATTTAACGAGACATCAGTAGAGAACTTCACATGTAATATTCTTTTAACCAAGTATAGTCATCGGAAGCCCAGGCAAGAATAAAATAAATCTTACCAAGAGTGAATTCTCTCCGTCTAATAACCGAGAGATAAAGACTCCCAATCATAGAATAAGTTATGCTCAAAGGAATTTGAAGAAAAGGATTGGATACAAAAGAGTCATTTCAAAGTCTAAAATCCTTATGAAAAATATCCCAACTAATACCCAAATTATATTAGAAAGGACTAAGCAAAGACAGTATATTTAGATGTAAATCTATAGAAAAATCAAGGGCCAGCCCATGGCTTCCCAGTTCAAGTCTACTACCAGGAAGAAAGTAAGAATGCATCAGAAGCGCAAAAATTCAGTGTCCTTAATACACTCAGGTAAGCACGGCTATAACAGAGTAGGGTGATTTCAGAAAGGAAGTTTGACTAGGAAAGAAAGTTCAGAATATTCTGAAATCACAAATAATTCTAGGAAGAAAGCAAAGAATGTTATAGCAAGTGGACAACTGATCCAAATGATTAATTCTGTACTTCCTGTAAGGAAGAACCCCTTGATTTTGTAACTACGATAAGCAAACATTTTGAAGGTTTTCAATCTTTTTAAAAGATAAAGGGGTTTTGGGGTTTTGGGGTTTTGGGGTTTTGGGG